TATTCAAGCCAACATTTTTGGTCGAGGGGGGGGTCCACTAAACGGGCCGCCACATTAAGGCTTCTATAAGGTATATAGACCTTTTTTGAAGCTCCTATAACGGTAACTAGTACCCACCCGAACATGTGATAGATTAAAGGAAGCCTTGCGAGATCGCAATGTTTGCGTCCTTAGCCGGACCTTCCGCCCTAGGCCCTAAACCCTAAACCCTAAACCCTAAACCCTAAACCTTAAACCCTAAACCCTAAACCCTAAACCCTACACCCTGAACCCTAAACCCTTCCGTGGTTTCGGCCCAGGGTTTCCCTCCGACTGCTTGGAGCTTTCGACGAAGCTGCTGGGTGATTTTCTGCCCATTTTAGTGTGCAGGGTTCGGGGTTTGGGTCTAGGGTTTAGGGTAGAGGGTTTGGGGTATAGGGTTTAGGGTTTAGGGCTAGGGTTTAGGGGCACAGTGTGGGATGTAGGGTTTTGTTTTAATGCCTTCTCCCGCTGAAACTTAGCTATACACGGAACATGTAGGACTGCAAGGAATAGTTTTGGTAACCCGAAATACTTATGACGCACTACCACAATCAGACACTACAGCAACGTTAAACCCTGTACGCAAAACAAAGCTCCAAGCCTTAAGCCCATCCCAATCCCCAAGCCATAAGCCCTACACGGAACTCCAGTGCAACGAAGCATCGCGCGTGTGAGGGCATGGCATCACGTGATGTAAGCCCGAAAATTGCTCCCACTCCGCCTTAGGGCTCAACCGTTTAGGGGGTCCTGTAAGGGTTCGTTAAGGGGTTTATTACAAGGAGTACTACTATGGGAGTTTAGAACGGAGGCATTAAGTTTTGGGTAGATTATACTACAAACGACATTTCATGAGGTTCAGGGTGTTTATGGGCTCTCAAGGGGTCGTGGGACTTAGTAGGTTAGGTCATTAGCCCTACCCTAAACCCTGCAGCAAAGGCGAAAAGTCTAACGATTCGTGGATCAACGTGGGGAGTAACAGTCGAAGAGCTGAATAATGCTGAACATCTCGCAGACAAAACCGGCGTTCAGGCAGGGTTTAGGGTTTAGGGGTTAGGGGTTGTTGGCTTAGGGTGTGTTTAGAGATTTGGGGTTTAGGGTTTTAGGGTCAAGGGTCTGATATTATGATATAGGCACCATAAACAGGGGAAGTCTCGTATTGCTATTCCAAACGTCTATGGTAAACTACTGTTGATGACATAAATCCTGCATTACCTTAACGACCCTAAACTATGGGAATTATGCCATATTCCTTATTTTGGGTCATGCAGGTTTTATATCGTCAGCCGTATGATAAACCCAAAGCCGCGAAGCACGAAGCAAAGATGCTTACACCCAACCACGATAGTAAAGGTTTGCGAGCATCGGAAACAAAGAGCTCTCGCACTCACTTCCCAGAGACTCCAATATCCCTTAATTAAGGAATATACCTTAAATCATATTAGGGATCCTATTATAATTTAAGGTATATTCCTTAATGAAGGGATATTGGAGTCTCTGGGTTCTTGGGAAGCTGCGAAAAAGCGCGACGAGCATGGCCACGAACTCTACCTCCTCGAAGGTGTAGCTGTCATTCTCATCAAAAACACCTGGGAATGTCTCAGGGAAACCGTGCTGACTGCCTGTAAGTTCGCGGAATAGGCGTAAGCAACAGGACGAGTATAGCGTAGGACGGTTTCAGCAAATCAATAAGGAACCCAAGCACTCTAAGTAGTCAGCACAACTCCAAACCCGAAACTGGCTCTAAACCGGAAACCCATAACGAGCTTCCAAAACCCCAAACCCATAACTAGCTTCCTGAATTCACAAATAGATCAGCCGATTTCCGTGTCTTGCCAGCTTCTCTGGCGCCGACAGGATCTGCGAGACGGACCCTTCAAACCCTAAACCCTAAACCCTAAACCCCTAAACCCTAAATCCTAAACCCCTAAACCCTAAACCCTAAACCCTAAACCCCTAAACCCTAAACCCTAAACCCCAAAGACTAAACCCGAGGCGACCTCAGAGCCTCAGGCCTTAAGGTCTGGAAGGTGCCATCCGTGGGTTCAGGGCGCCAAGGCAGCCAGAGCTGACACGGAACAAGGTTCAGGGTTTAGGGTTTAGGGTTTAGGGTTCAGGGTTTAGGGTTTAGGGCTTATAGGGTTTAGGGTTTAGGGTTTAGGGCTTATAGGGCTTATAGGGTTATAGGGTTCAGGGTTTAGGGTTTAGGGTTTAGGGTTTAGGGTTTAGGGTTCAGGGTTTGGGGTTCAGGCATTCTGGGCCAGAAGACATTGAGCTCGAGCCCGAGGGTACAGCTGGACAGTACAACCCAAGTGTATACGCCCAGAGACTCCAATATCCCTTAATTAAGGAATAGACCTTAAATTATAATAGGATCCCTAATATGATTTAAGGTATATTCCTTAACCCTAAGGCTCCATGTGCCCATATAGTAGGTACTTAGGCCTTAAAGTACCTATATAGGGACCCCTTTAAGGCTTAAGTATCTACTATAAAGGTACATGGAGCCTTTGGGTAATTAAGGGATATTGGAGTCTCTGGGCGATCTTCTCCTTTCACACTTCACACAGGCGCAGCGCTCCCTTTGATGAGACACAAGAAGACGGTCTGAGGTTATCTCTAAGGGTCCATGTACCTAAATAGTATATACATTGGCCCCAAAGTATCTATATAGGGACAACATTAAGGCCAAAGTATATGCTATGTGGGTGCATGGACCCTTAGGGTATTGCTAAACCTGCAAGCGGTCATCGATCTTATGTACACATAGAAGCCTATCTTGTAAGGCCATCGGGCTTTGAGTTTAAGCAGATACGCTAAACTAGGCCCTAAACCGCTCTAGTATAGTAACCTTGTAGATCGCCTCGGTAACTCCTTGAGACCTTTATAGTAGGGCAGCAAAAAAGCACAAGCAAACTTTGGGATAGGGATATCCCATATAAGCCCCCTTAATTTACTTCCAAAAAACAACAACACTATAGGGATATCCCTGTAAAATGGTGATGCTTATGTCCTTGTCGGGGCGCTCTGTAGAAATCCTAGTAACCCTAGACCCAACACCCTAAACCCTACACCCCAAAAGAACCCTCATGATACCTGGTCCAAGTGAGGCTTTGGATGTTGGGTTTAGGGGTTTCAGGGTTTGAGGGTTTAGGACTTAGGGTTTCAGGGTTTAGGGTAGAGGCTTCAAGGGTTTAGGCGTTAGGGTCGAGGGGTTTAGGGACCCTGAGGCCCGTCGGATGCGGTCCCTAAACCCTAAACCCTAAACCCTAAACCCTAAAGATGCGGTCCCAGTGGCCTAAGAGGAATCGTATCTTCTGCTTCTTGGAGATACCTCGGCAAGCAACAGAAGAGAGAGCCTCGACATGGCGAACTTCAAGAAGAAGTTAGGGTTTAGGGTTTAGGGTTTAGGATTTAGGGTTTAGGGTTTAGGGTTTGAAGAAGTACCCTGAATGTCATATTCGAGGTTCAGGGTTTAGGGGTATTTCGGCATTGCGACGTGAAATATGATCGGTTCGAAAGCGTTTAGTGGCTTTGTGAAAGGTTTCGGATACGCTCGTATCACGGAATCTCAATGTGCTAGGTTTCGGGGCATTAAAGACAAACATAAAGTAAAACGCTACGATTAACACTTCCACAAGCGCAGACACTATCACAGCAGCAGCAGCAGCAGCAGCAGCAGCAGCAGCAGCAGCAGCTTTCCTGCTGCTGCTGCTCTTACCAGTGGAGCTGGGGTTTGGGGCTCAACATAGGGGTCTCAATAATTACCTATATTATTTTGGGGTTCCTTGTCATAAACATAGTATAACATACACCGAAACCCTACTCTAATCCCTAAACCCTAAACCCTAAACCCTACTCTAATTATCATTAAGGCCCCTACATTTAATTGGGTGCAGGGTTCAAACGATCGATCCAAAGAGCAAAAGACCTCAAAAGCAAAGCTGAGCTGCTGGTGGACATCCAAATACAGGCTGTCAGGAAAGCAGGCATGTTGAGCCGCACCTCGATGGGTTTAGGGTTTAAACCTTATAGAACCCTCATGGAAGCCCTTGCACAACAACAATCCTCAAAAGAAGCTTCTAGCACCCTAAACCCGAAACCCTGAACCACTTTTTAAGCCGTAAGCTCTACATCCCAGAACCCTGAGGCCCCACGCGGTTTAGGGTTTAGGGTTTCCCAGCCCCCAAACCCTAAACCCCCAAACTCGAAACCCAAACCCCCTCAACCCTACACCCCAAACCCTTAAATCCTACACCCAAACCCAACTTACAAGCCCTGCCCTAAACCCTAAACCCTAAACCCTAAACCCTAAACCCTAAACCCTGAACCCTAAACCGCAGAGGATCTCAAGAGGGTGCATCTGGAGTTGCAGCGGGTCTTGTAAAAGGTTTTCTCTGATGAGCCCTAAAGACTCAAGGGTTCTTTTGTGGGCTCCTTGAATAGGGCTCTACCCTACACCCTAAACCCTAAAGACTAAACCCTAAACCCTAAACCCTAAACCCCTAAACCCTAAACCCTAAACCCTAAAAGGGTTCTAGCAGGGGCTCGGGAGCCGGGCTTAGGGTTTAGGGTTTAGNNACCCTGAACCCTAAACCCTGAACTTTTTCCTAAATTGCAGTCGCTGCAAGCTCAACTCTATCTGAGCTGTCTGGCGCTGCCAGCTGCAGGGTCTTCAGACCCTAAATCCTAAGCCCTAAGCCCTAAACTCGAAACCCTAGACTCTGACCCCTAAACCCTAAACGCTAAGCCCAAAAACCCTAAGTCCCTAAACACAAAGCCCTTGAAGTTTTCTAGAGATTTTGGCTGTTAAGTCGAGGGGCTCTTGAGCTACGAATCCTTTAGGGTTACGGGTTTTGGGTAGAGGGTTTAGTGTCTAGGGTTTGCGGTTTAGGGTCTGGGGTTTAGGGTCTAGGGTTCGGGGTTTAGGGTTTGGGGTTAAAGGTTTAGGGTCCCCCAAACCACCTGAATTCAGGAATATACCTTAGGGCCTTGGTGGGTCGGAGGTGTAGGGTTTCGGGAGGAATTGGGGAATTGCTTACAGAACCTACCTTGTTTCGGGTTTTCCTTATCGAAGTCATTATAACAAAACTAAGTGTTTATCTTTTGGGTCCAGGTTTACCTTCAATCATAAACGGATCGTCTACATGGGTTTTGCAGTTTCTGTGTCTCAAACCCTCTGTGAGGCAACATGTCGTCGTAGGGGCTTTAGGGAAACCCTGTCACCTCCCGAAAGAAATTGAATCCCAGGACTGGACTGAAGAAACTTAGGACTGAAAGCTGGTAGTCTTGACCCAAAGGTTACCGATTGGAGTTTGGGCTTAGAGTTTATTTTTGGGGGAAAGTTGGTAATTAGCCATGACCCAAAAGCTTAGGGTTTAGGGTTTAGGAAAAGTTGGTAGTCATGACTCAGAGGTTGCGGTCCAGGGTTCAGGGCCAGAATATGCACACCACCCTGACATGGTGGCCTTGTTGTAGTCCTGCGTGGCCTTCATCATCTGCAACCTCGCGTAGGAGCTCGGGTCGAATAACTTCACGAACTCCAGCACCTGTCTGCTTGGGCCGAGGCCCAGTCGGTCGAGGTTTGGAGATTAGAATCTCAGGTTCAGGGGTTTGGGATATCGGGTTTGGGGCTACGTCGGGTTGCTCCCCGGAGCATGTTTTACTCGTGCTTGTTCCGACGGCGAGGCTGTGGCCATTTCTCATTACCACTGGCAGTCACTAGCACCGAGCTGCTCCTGCTGCTGCTGCTCAGGCTACGTATACTTTTGGCCTGCTGCTGATCCGAGAACCGCATCAACAACAAGAGCCTCCTACTACAATTACTACTGTTGCTCCGTTTACTGCTACTACCACCACTACTACTACTACTACTACTACTACTACTACTCCTGCTGCTCCTCCTCCTCCTCCTCCTCCTGCTGCTGCTGCTTACTATTACTACTACTACTACTACTACTACTACTACGACAAATACTACTACCACCACCACCACCAC